TTAATTTTTATTATGTGTTTGAATGATGATCATGTAAAATTAATTTTAAAAAATTAATCATGTAGGTTTTATTAATTTTACATAATTTTATCATTGGTGGATAAAAATATTTTTTTGACATTTATTTTTATCAAATTAGTTTTTATTTTATCAAATTGACAATTTTACCCTTAAAAAATTTAATGATATTTTCAATTGTCTTTATTTGGAACAAGATTCAAAATTCAAGGTCAAATGTGTCACAATTGAAAAATCAGGGATCAAAGTGACACAAGTCCCAAACTATAAGAACTATTAATGTAATTAATCCAAAAATAAAGCTTGAGAATGGAAAAAATGGAACAGAAAATCCGTAGTCTATAAAAGGGCTGAAAATCACGTGTCCCTTTCTCTTATGTTGCAAATTTCATATCTATCAACGATCAGACTAAATTTTGTTTCTACCACACAATTAAACTTGAGAAACCTAATCACATAACAAAAATAAAGTTGGCAAAGTTTTGTAGCTACCACATGATTAAGTTAGAGACACTTGATTGTGTGATAAAAATGAAGTTTGAGATTGGACTAAATGGAGCAAAAAATAAACACTCCACAAAAACAGTTTGGCTATTAGAACCACAAGGTTAAAAGACAAGAAGATAATGACAACCCAATAATGTACCAAGCAAGATTCCCACACTGAAAAAAAATATATAAAAAAGAAGAAGAAGAAGAAGAAGAAGAAGAAGAAGAAGAAGAAAGATTCCAAGGAATAAATATTTTTTTTAAAAATTCATAATTTAATTCTCTTTCAAGACCTTTTGAGTTTCAAAAGTATGTGAAACAATGGAATCTCTATCAAATCAAAGTGACCGCTATGGATTCTGTTAGAATACCCTTTATTTTGTCAAATCATTTACAAGCCAGCACCTGGCAATGAATCATTGTGAAGTAAGCATAATATTACATGAGACCATATTAATTTTTTACACTTCATTTTTTCAATTTCACTGTCACAACTAATTTACACTGTAACCATTTGGGTACCTCTTTGAAAGGCTTCCCTCCTGAGCAGTCTGAAATCTTTAGAGGGTTTCAGTTTGAAGCTTGCCATGTTGCTTAGATTGGTGCTGAGACCAGTAAGAATGGGCAGCCAAGACTCGGTCCAAGAGCTCCTGCGGCACGGGCTCGCCTCTTCTTTGCTGGGGGGCGATGCTTGCCGTGTGAACCAATGTCTTCCACTTATCCTGCATACGAGCACACACAATCATTCATCATCAGAGGGTAACAGCTTGTTTACGTAATTATTTAAGTACCTATATGATAAAATATTAGTCTAACCCAAAACAACCCATGTGCTTCCTTTCGGATTGACACGTTAATCGTGTTAATAAAAAAACTAAATTACGTCAAAGACTAAAAAATATTCAATTAGCAGGAAAGTTTAAGGATTGTCATGTGCTGACAGGTCTCTGTCAGGTCATCCTAACAAGCAACATCATGAGATATATCCGAGAAAAAGAGGTTTGTAACAACTTGTAAGATCTCCACAGTGATCGTCTTTTCCTGGTGTACTAAAAATGAATATTTACATATATATAAATGAAGGGTGTCTACCAGCAATAATCACATGGAAAACTGTGTTATGCAAAGGTCATATTTGATTATTCTTCTCTCAGATCCACAACTAATATTCCAGCAGTAACTTCCATTGACATATATGGTATCGTTTAAAATAACAGTAGCAAGATATGTATCGTATCGGCGACGCAGACAAATCGACTGATGTATTGGTGACTATCCATATTGGAAGTTCAAAATCCCGATAGATATTTAAAACCTGGCATGGCACATTCACACCTGTAGCTGGTAACAATCTCACATGCTTGAACATAGATAAAAATTGCAAATGAATTTCTTACCTTCAAGTCCACATAAGTTCGATGATCTGCATTCTCAAAAGCACGCAATTTAACATCACGCCACCTGCAGAATCAGAAGACAATTGGAACTCCGGATCCTCTCAATAAGAATAAAAAAAAGTTCTCTATATTGAAAAATAGAACAGACTTGTATATCTCCCTAGAACGTGGACGGAATGAGAACAATAGGCAAAATGACGGAAGAAGCAGTATATTTACATACCTTCCAGTTCCGAGATTCTCAACTGCTTCAACTAGTGCTTCTACTTCTGACACAGAGAAAGGTCTCCTAGTTCTACGCTGCACAAGTTCAGACCGCCTAGTTTTCTGGTTCATGGGAAACACAGCAAGTGCTTCCACGCTCATTGCTGGTACGGGAACCAAGGCTCTGGAATCAGGTGTCGTTCCATCTGTTACTACATCAGTAGGGGAAGGGACCAATTCATTTTTACTTTCAACATGGTTGTCCACATTGGCCACTGGAAGAGGATCACATGATTCATTAGAGAACCCTGAATCCAAAATGGGACTGGCTGGCAACCTGGATATAGAGTAGAATAGAGCAAAATTCAAAACCTTAATTTTATTCCAATCCACAACCACCAAATAAAAAATATACATTAAAGAAATTAATCTACCATGGTTCAAAAACTTGCATCAATTTGATAAAACATGGGAAACAGCAAATAAAACTTTCTAGCCTTTTTGCCATGAAAAGAACCGTTTCATGTTCAAATGTACACCCGAACCAAAAATAAATACACTACAGGTAATAATAAGAAGAAAAAAAAAGGACAAGAAATGCAATTGACCTAGAGCTATAAAAATGCTGAAGCAACAAAATTCTAGTTCTCCGGAATAAGTATCTATCTGCAAATATACATTACCTGGTTAACTGTTGGTGTGTCTCACATGGCAGCAAAATTGGAGGATCTTTGGGGCACACAGGTGGAGACGCCATCACAGAACTTGGTTCCAATGTAAAACCAAGAGCATCCAGGTTGTCATTGTGAGAAATACCAGTTTGCAATAGAGTTCTGTTATCATCTTTAACCTTTTTCCCTTGAAGAAGTACACCTACGTGTAATCCGCCTTGAAGTATAGCAGTCACGGCCTCCATAACGGTCCTCTACACAAACATCATGCAGAAGCATAATACAAAATGAGAATCTATAATCACTAACACTCTACAGCATCTGTAATGGATCAAATAAGTTTTTTTGTTTTTTTTTTTTTTTTTGGGGGGGGGGGGGGGTTGGGGTATGAAATAAAATTATAGCAGTAATTCGCTTATTAATAGTGAGGGAACAGAAAACATAAGGTTCCTACCACCTTAAAAATATAATTCAATTAGTGCATTAGGGGTAAGAAATAACAGTTGTTCATATTTTCGTGGCAACCCCCACCATCTATGATGATAAGTAGAAGAAAGGCATATCACTATGATGGGACGCATATTTATGTTCATCGAGAAAACTGTCTGATTACATAGTATGTAACACGATCTCGCAATGAGGTCACAAGAGTGAGCCTCAGCCAATTTTCTACAGGAATACGATATCATGAAACCGTAAGGAAATGAACAGCCACATTGCAGCTAAGACTACTAACGTAAATCGAATTCCTCAAGGAAAGAGTTGTATCATAAAAAAAATCCAAATTTATATTGAACTAATAAAAAATAAATAAAAAATAAACAACGGTAAGAATAAAAAGATAAAACACAATCAGGTTATGGTAGAAGTAGTGATAAAATACTTTTATTTTTTTCTCTCTTATAGATAGTTGAAAGAATTCAGCAAGCCAAAATCACTGTAAATCATTCGCCAAACAGAAAACAGAGTTGTGCCCTGTGTGACTAGGGTATTTGTGGACCTTCACAGGTACAGATTAAGAATCTTCTTGAACAATATAGAATATGCGCAGAAATAGGGAAATTGACTCACAAACCTTCAGTGAACCAATAGTTGGCAGTTTCTGGACCATCAACATAAAGCCTGGTACCTTGAAGGATCTTGATGCTAAACTTCCACTGCAATGAAGAAAACATAGTGCATGTACAGAAACTCTTAAAGGTCATGTTTGATTCACATGACTAATAGTGATGTATTATAATCTTATCAAATAGATACAGTATTCACTATCCAATTGGATAATTATCCATTGGATTAAATAATCCCACCCCTACTCATTACTTATAAGTGCCTCAAATTGTTGATTTAATTATCCATTTGGATTAAATAATGCCTAAACCGCAAATGTTTAAAACAAACAGTAGGATAATTGGGCCCACGGATTAGATAATCTCCAATCCCATGTCTATAAAAGTCATATTGCAATCAAGTAAAAAAAAAAGAAGATTTAAATGTACGATCACTATCCACGCATACACATACAGAGATCAGTTCTTTACTTTCTTTCTTTCTTTATTTAATTTTTGGGTTTCATTATTATTTATAGTTTTGGGTGGGTGTTATGTTTCTAGTACCGTGGGAATCCCTCGAGTGACATGATTGCTGACGACGCTAAAAACTGAAGATGGAACCCACCACTTGCTGCCACCCAAAAAAATTAAAACACTAAAGATGTCAGCTAGAGAACTTGAATAGGCAACAAAGCTGTAAATCCCCAAGACAAATAGAAAGTAAACCTACATGCAGCAAGTTTTTTAGGTGAGCCACCCTTGGTCTCCCTTCATTAGTCCTTCTCATGTGTTGAGTTAGAAATCTATTCACTAACTTGCCTGCCCAATCATATGCTAGAGGTCGAGTCTGTGGTAAATTTTTCCTCTTCTTTAAGGAACCTTCGCGTTGAATTCTTTCACTGGTGGTGAAGGCTTTCCCTATGCGGGAGACGGTGCTTGCATGCCCCATCTTAAAATTAGACGAGAGAGAGCAAATATATTTAAATAGACATACATAGTAGACATATTTGTGCATGTGTGCATACCTTGTCAAACTTTAGCTTACTGTATCGCACCAAAATGCTAAATCATTCACTTACTGGAGTTAGAAAATTCACAATCCTTCAACTTTGGAGCTACTTTCCAGTATTTGGAAGTCAGTAACTTTCTTATTCTTCGGTGCCCAATACGTTGATGTGGCCTAAAGGCCCTCATCTTGGAGCTAGGCCGATTGTACCGAACAGAAATTTTCGTCATCATCTTCACTACCTACCTTTACATTGATCCTATGCTGCGGAAAAGAAGCATTGGAACAGAATCCCTATATGAGGTCAACTGTACACTACTGTCAGAATTAATAAATGGATGGGTATTCACACATATTTCCATTGGATCCTTTGAACTGAAGGTATTAGCTGCGGTCAAATCTGCATTATGATTATGATTCCTTCAACCTCTAGCTGTCTTTCAGTTCCATTATGTACGTAACCATCACATGATTCCCCACAATTAGGGGAGCCCCCCTCTACTTTGCCATGGAATTTTTCAACTGCTATCTTGTTTTCAGAGATTTCCAATTTCACATCATGACCAACTTTCTTGGAAAGTTGGAACTTGAAATAATCGAAGTGCTTTCCAAAACAGTATCACACACAGCATGAGGGAGTTCTCTCAAAGTGGACTTTGAATTGTGATTTTGAGCTGCAAGTCCAGAGCCAAAGAACTCTCTATGCAGCTTCCCTGATCATTGCACCCTGATCTCAAAGCATTACTAGCTTCCAGTTGTTCATGTTTAACTCCACACCCGTGAATTCCAGATGGGTCTTTTCCTTCAGCATTACTAGAAGTAGAACTCTCACTCTCCTGCAACAACTTGCCAGCAACAGCTGCCAGTAGTTCAAATGCACAGATTTGGCTATCCTCAACGCTTTCTTATGTGAACTCTCCTCTGAACCAATAACCAAAAATTACAAACATCAGTGTTTCAACATAAAGGGGATGTTAGGATCACCAGACAACCCAGTAAAGCTAAAGAATTACTAACTCTTACAGATCTGGGACCTCTAGGTATAATGGGGACCCGGTAGCCATTGAATCCATAATCAAGACTCTTCTTCAACACCATATCTCAGGCATGCATGCCAATAAGAGCTCATCAGATGCAATATGCCAGCATTCTCAGATCCACTTCACTGTAACAAAGGAAAAAAAAAAAAAACTATTAACAGACATCCACAAATCACCCTTTTTTAATAACCTCAATCACTTGATAATGCACATCACTGGAGTGAGCAAACAATCATGAGTAGAAATTATTATGGATCACAATCTCACGAAAACTCTTGACTTCAGTACAATAACGATTATGTCAATGTTGTTCTTAGGCTCTTCCGTTTTATATTTCCGCTCTTGAGCGAGGCATGATAATAAACAATAATCAAGAAGATCTGTAAATAAGATCTGCTTAGAGAGCACTCGGTCCCAAAAAGTCACAACTTCACAAGTACCTGAAATTCAATGCGAAAGGGAAACAACCAAGAGCATTTACTCATGCTTCGAAGAAGTTACGTACTTAAATTTATGAGAACCAAGAAATATGATCAAAGGGAAACAACCAAGGCACTTGCCGTAAAATTACAAAAACATGTTTTTCATTTTCCAAAGATCTTCCAAAAACCCAATGAGACATTATGACGAGAAGGAAAAAACAAAAAAAATGTTTGCAGATTATAACCTATCACATTCAAATTCCACAAGCCTGAATAGAATTAGATCAGTAGAAATTCAGACGGGGTTGGTATTAATCCAGCCACAATTGTGTACAAACAAATTAGGAATTGAACTTAAATCCAGATAACCAAATTCACATAAAACGAATCAAAAGATAAAGAAAGGCTTGTGATTTCCACCAGAACTACCGATCAGATTCCAATTTCACCGCTCGTTTTTTTTTTTTTTTTTTTTTTTTTTTTTTTTTAAAGTTCCAGAATTTGAAATAATTTCCACCAAAAAACCAAAAATCGGAATCAACAACTCTGGGAACTCCGTAGAATGGAATAAATACGATCCAAGTGCGATCAAGAGAAGAGAGACAAATCAATCAAATCTGCTCAGATCTCCAACTGATCACGTGAAAATTGACGAGAAAACAAGTAATTCACAACAGAATTCCACAATTCCACCATGGATCAAACCAAACATCTCCCAAAAAACAAAATTGAACGAATCCAAGCCAAATTCAACAACGCAGAACCTCATTACGTATACAGATGATAAAATACACACGCACAAGTAATTCGATCGGCTTACCACTTCAAGATACGATCGCCAGTTTAAATCCGTATAATGCGTATTTGCGTTCGAATTCGCTTCAATTCAATCAGAATTTTCAAATTCACGTCACATGAAAAACAATTCAAACTCTCTCTCTCTCTCTCTCTCTCTCTCTCAAAACTTTTCTCTTCTCTCCTGTAGAGATGTGGGACGTGGTGGTTGTGGATTGTGGACAAGAACCAAAAACCCTTTAAGCTGTTTCAAAACCACACAAAACAACTTAAAACCTCTCTCTCTCTCGCATCCGTTTTTATAGTTTTGACCGAACAACCGGACCAGCCAGTCAAGGGGCATTAATGTCCGGGGCTTAAACCCCTCTGGAACCACTTGTTTTTGTTATGAGAGTTTTAATTTAACTCAACCAGTTGCCACACAACTTCTCTTAGGACAAGTTATGCCACGTGGTACGTGTTTTAGTTACTTGTCTCCCTCTCTCTCTCTCTCTCTCTCTCTCTCTCTCTCTCTCTCTCTCTCTCTCTCTCTCTGCTTTTTATTATGTAAATGGATTCTTTCTTTGACTTACTAAATGGAGAAAAAAAAATAATAAATACAAAAAAATCAAAATTATTTCCAATCCATTTGTTGTGTTTATTGTTCTTGTGGTAGTTTTAAAAAAAATAATAATTTGTAGTTAGGGGAATTCAAACTTGGCATGCTCAATCAATAATCTTGTATATTACGGTTAATTATAACAAGACTTTTTTAATTATTAATAAATATTATTTTACCTCATTAATAATGAACTTATCCTCAAATTAGAAAAAAGAAAAAAAATGAATCCGTCTATATTAGACGCTTAACTTAAAAAATAATATAAATAGATTCATTTTAAAAATAGTCTAAAAGAGTAAAAGTGATACATTTTCATTAATTGAAAAGGTAAAAATATACGGCTTCATAAATGAGAGATAAACCATAATTAATTTCTTTATACTATCAATAGACATAGGACACCAGTTCAAAAATTAATTGTTTTCTATCTACAATATTTTTAACAATAATTAATTATATTTTTCGTTAATTGAAAGGAGCTTTAGCATTTGGCCTTATTGAATTTATTTCAAGTTGCTGATAAAATAAGTAGGAAATATGATTGTTTAAGAATGTGTTTGTCGAGGAATTTGGGAAAGAATTTAAAAAGAAAAAATGAAAAAGTGTGTGAACTTAAGTGAGATATAAATATATTTTATTTCATTTCACTTATTTTTTCTCTTTTTCTTTCAAAATTCTTTTCTAAGTTTTCTAACCAAACACAGCGTAAAAGGTGAGGCTAACAAGTGTTTTTGGGTAAGAAAAAGAATTTTTAAAAAAAAACATAAAATATTTTTACCAATTCAAAACATTTTTCCTTAAAGTAATTTTTTTTTAATCTTTCACAATTTACAAACACTTTTTATACTTGAAAAACACATAGCATTTCTCTAGTGTTGAAATGGAGACATGTACTGAGTTATTAGTTTTATTTGAAACCAAGTTCGAAAGCAACTAGAATTCAATATCACATGACGAACAAATTAATAAATATCCTAAAGAAGCGACCTTAGAGCATCCGCATTAGATTCTTTGCAATAACTTTGAAGTTATTATAGAGGGCATTAGCATCAAATCTCTCTCCATCAGCCTACAAAAATTTTTATAAATTAACTTTTTATTAATTTGCTACAATACCTTAACAAAAATAAGAGGCATTGTTCACTAGTTACATTATTTTTCATTATATTTTTTGGAGCAAAATTAGGCCAAAATTTTTAAACTGGTCGTCCACTCGGATGTCCTGTGAGTGCTTTATGAAGAAGAAGAAAAATGTACAAAATTAGCCTAACGGTCGACCGGCCAATCAACCGGTCAACAACAATTTTTTTTTTTTTTGCATTTTTTAAGAATGTTTGGGTGGCACCTCATCAAATTTAATAAAATCAGAAAGAATAACAAATACAATAAAAAAATTAATATTTGTAATAAGCTGAGTTAGACATAAGAGTTGATGGGCAGTGAAATACTCA